TCTTTTGTATAGATATTGCCTCCCTCATTATAATGTAAGCCCTCTGAGGGCAGGGGCTGTTTTACTATTGTCTGTGTACCCCTGTTGCTTAGCACAGAGCCTAGTAAGAGCTGAGTGACTGCTGGCAGATTGGCTGACTGATACTCTCTTCTCCCTCACCTCTGTCATGCTGTTCTCCACTGGCTCTTCTTTGGGCCTGATTTTTGCTTCTCAATATTCTTTTGCTGGGTCACTATCCACCTTCAGTCTCCTCAGTGTGAATATCTCCAAGATTCTGTACTTGGGCCTCTTTAGCATAGCCACCACCTCAACCACAATCTCCCCTCTGACCCTGATGGAGGCAGCTCGGGACCTCCAAACACAAGAGACTGGGAAACAGCAAAATCAGTGTCCACAGGAGCTACCTTGTGGAGAAGGGGCCCATCTGTCTCTTTACCACTAGCAACAACTGATAACCAGCTGCCACCAATAGGTACATATGCATGAGGGCCACAGGGGTGGCAGCAAGCTCTAGACCACTGGGCCTGGTGCAGCCCTGATAGCTCTCATCTCAGGAAGCAACTCCTGTGGTAAAGGGGCTGTCCATTGCCACCAGCTGCCAGCCAATTGCTATTCAAAAGGCAGATGGGCCAGCCTTGCTAAAACAGTGAGGCACCCTAAGGGAGAGATGAGAGGCCAGTCAAGGAAACCTAGAATCACCACCTTGACATTATCAGTCCTTTGACAACCCAGAACCCTGAACCTAAGAGCATTTGGAATAGCAAGGCTTCCAGACCAGTGCCTGCAACCCTCATGCTGGGGTAAGTGATTGAAATAAAACGAAATATAATTAAAAAATAGACATAAAAAAGTCTGAAAGTAAAAGTTGGTTATGGTGAGGTGATGAATATGGATTTAGAAATGGGAAGGGATGGTGCATGGTAAAAAGAACAGTTTACTTGGGGACAGGAGAGAATTTGGGTTGCATTCCACGTCTTCATCCTTCCTAGTTGTGGCACATAAATCAGCTGATTTTCTTGAGCCTCAGCAACCTCACCTATAAAATGGGAATTATCCTATTTGCACTTAGGATTCTCATGTGGATGAAATCAGATGTGTCATAAAGGGTGGTTTATTTTTCAACCTTGCTGTGCCAAGCTAGAATGTAATCTAGAGGGGAAAGGAGGACAATCAGGTCCTACCTAAAGGCAGGCAAATCTTCCTTTCAATCACAATGACGATATTAAGCTCTTTCTTTCTCTCTTTCTCCTTTAGGATTACCATGTGACCCCACGTTCATCCTTGGGTATCCTCCTTGCAATACAGTCTGCTCTATCATTTTCCAGAAATGTTTTGAATATAAAGACCAGAAATTTCTATGTTTAATGAAGCTTTTGAATGAAAACATCAAGGTCATAAATTCCCCATGGATGAAGGTGAGACCAGTGTTCTCTCTGTATGGAGCTCAGAATATTTTTTAAATTACTTCAAAGAAACTACTACAAGCAGCTAGGCTAGAGTTCATCATTCATTCCATTGGGAGGTACAATAGTGCCATGTTGGAATGGGTTCCCATTTTCTTCTTCATTGACAAGGACTAAAGACAGAAAAGGTCACCCTATGTGGTCTGATTTGACAGACATTATAAGGCCCCTCCCTGGAGTAGTTCACCCACTGGTCACAGGGACTGAATGTTAAAATTCACGTTACTAGAGACAAGCTGACTTTTCCCTTGTGCACCCGAGTTTGGATCAGGTTAGCAGATGAGTTAGCTGTCATAATGGAACGTTGTAGGCTGAGTTCTTAGAAGACCTCAAAAGGAGAAAGGATGAGAACTTTTCTCTTGGAAGTAAGAATTAAAAGTGAAAGCCAAGGCATTTTCAGGGAACCAAGGAACAGAATGCTAATTTTTACAGCATTTGTATAGGAAATGGTGAGAAAAGTCACTATTTTCCAAAGGGCACTTGTCCCACACTTACTCAGCCCTATTCTCAACATGATCCAAGTGCTACAGTAGAAAATTATTTTCTTTTTCTAATAAAGTTTGATATAAAATTCTTCTTTTAAGATCTACAATTCTTTTCCATCTCTACTACATTATCTCCCTGGATCTCATCACAAAGCAATTAAAAATATTCAATCACTACTTGAATTTATTTTGGAAGAAGTGAAGGCACACCAAAGAACACTGGCTCCCAGCAACCCTGTGGACTTTATTGATTGTTTCCTCATGAAAATGAAGCAGGTAGAGTGTGAGCAGTAGGTCTGAATCTCAATTCTTGTAGGTGAAATGGCTTGTGTATCAGAGGCTGACATTCACATTCACAAACATAGAGCAGTAAATAATCATATTTTAATCATAATATGGCCAGAGCACTATATGAGAAGAATGAGAAGACAGGGTCCTAGCCCTAATGGAATTTCTAACCCAACATACAGGAGAAAGCCCATGTAAGGACAAGAATCAGTATCAGGAATGTGTAAGGAAAGCCAAAATAGGTTATTAATTGAGGATTTAAGTGATGAAGGAACTTGAAATTAGCAAGAAATGTAGTATTTGGAGTGGATTAACATAAGACTTCCCTCTGGAAGAGTTATGTTTTAGTCTGGGTGTTGAAGGAGGTCCCAGAGCTAGCCAGTGAAGACTGGGCAGGACATTTCAGCACTCTACAAAGACAGTGGGGAAGAGGGAACTTTAATCTGAGCAGCCTAATTGGAATGGAGGGGCTGCTGTGGTAAGTACTAGGGGGGAGGTTGGTGGGTTTTACAGTCAAGATAGTGGAGTTAGAGGCTCCTCACTTTCCCATCATTCCACAAACAACAAAGAGCAAAACAAAAAGAAAGAAAAATCATTGAAATGTTGCATAAAGAAAAAAAATCCACCAAATTATAAGCAAAACTAGAAAAAAGCAATATGCTAATGTCATTCATATGGAGTAAATGAACATGGGAGAAGGTAAAACATACACTGATGGAATGCTGAAATGGATCAATGACCTACTCACAGCAATTAAGTGTGCTCTGAGGTCATCACTTATGGTTTTCTTACCAGATGAACCAAAAAACACATTAATTCAAAACATTTAATTTAGCAATGTGTCAACATAACTGACCAGGAAAATCCTTCCTTCATCAACCTATGCACATCAGAGTATATTCTCCCACAGATTCCTACCCCATTGGTAGATGATGGAATGTGGGAGAGGGCAAATATGTAGACCAGAGCAAGAGATTTTTAGAACTAATATGTACAGTAGTCTCTTGTGTTTCATGTGTGGGAATCTTCAGAATTCCATATCCTTTCCCCCCCACCCCCAACCACAGTGGGCATAGACGTTAGTCGACTTGAACTTGAATTATGCCCCCTAGTACCTCCTTGCTTTTCCTGTGTTTTTACTTTTCTCACCTTTTGTTCATTGGATATTTGTTATATATTCAATTTCTGGTCTCAGGCGTGACTTTTCCTCAATATCAACATCTCATTGTCAAGGGCAAAGCATTTACCACCTCAATTTCCTCATTAGTAAAATGACAATAATAATGCACTAACTGTATCACAGTATTTTGATGAGGATAAAATGGGAAAATATACATGGATCCTTTTGCATTATTGTTATATATATGGAAGTTGATATTTTTTTCCTTCCTTATTTTCTAATCTAATAAATCCTGTTTATCTCACTAAACTCATAGAATAACAGAATTTAATCTGGAGGAAAATACAATAGCATATATATTTATATATATACAGTCATTGTGCATTTGTTGCTTAGTCATTTCAGGTGAGTCCAATGCTTCATGACTCCATTTTGGATTTTATTGGCAAAGATACTGGAGTGGTTTTCCATTTCTAGCTCATTTTATAGATGAGGAAACTGAGGCAACCAAGGTTAAGTGACTTGTCCAGGATCACACAGGCAGTTAGCCAGATTTAAACTCAACCCAATGCACCACCTAGCTGCTTGTGTATACCCACAGATATGATTGATATATAATATGTAGGTACAGATATCTTTTAAGTTAGTATACGGTATAGTTGTGTCAAACATGAATAGAAATGGATCCTGGTAGGCCTTATATTAACTTAGAAAATGCAGAAATTAACATTCTCTATGTTGTATTATATCTTTATTTATTTTACTAAACATTTCCCAATTACATTTTAATGTGGTTTCAGCCGCACACAGTTTTGTTGGTGTCTTGAGGCCTGAGACCTCAGAGTATGACCCCCCTGATGTAGCACATAAAGAGCTGCCCCCAGAGCCAGGCAAAACTGAGTTTAAGACCCCTCTCTGACACAAAATGTCTGTGTGATCGTGGGCAAATCACTTAACACTATAGTGCCCTAGTGCTAGGCAACTCTCTAGAAAATTTAAGTTTTTGAGGGAAAGTGCAGACTTGCATTGGCAGACAGATTTTTCTTTTTTAACTAGAAGTTAACTGTGCCAATGAAATTGCAGGTCTAGTCTCTTTCTGTCTTCTGTCTGTATATATCCCCCCATTCCTCACCACGTATCTTTCTTCTCTCTGTCTCTCTCGCACATGTAAGATCTGCAAGGGCCAAAATGCTTTGATAATTGCTAGCTTCTTTTTCTACTTTGGATTGTGTTGCTACAATTTAATTTATTTATAGGGTCATAGATTTAGAACTGAAATGTACCTTGGAATTGAATCCAACTCCCTTATTTTACAGATGAGGAAACTGAAAAATAAAATGGTTAAATGACTTGCCCAAGGTCAAGATCAGAGCTGGTGGTGTGTTGGGGGCAACTAGGTGGCACAGTGGATAGAGCACTGGCCCTGAAGTTAAGAGCATCTGAGTTCAAATCTGGCCACAGACACTTAACTAGTTGTGTGACCATGGCCAAGTCATTGAACCCTGTTTGCCTCCCCCCTAACATTAAAAAAAAACATATCAGAACTTAGATTTAAACCAAGGTCCTCTGCTTCCAAATCCATTATGCTTTCCATTTGCCTGCTGCCTCTCTTACTTTTCCATTAATCATACCAAATTATTCTAGGAAAAGCAACAACCACAATCTGAATTTACCATTGATAACTTGGTCCGCACTATAAGTGATCTATTTGCTGCAGGAACAGAGACAACCAGCACCACCCTGAGATATGGACTCCTGCTTCTCCTGAAATACCCTGAGATAGAAGGTGGGATAAAGGATAATAACACATACAATTTAATCCACATGAGAGGGGTTCCTGGTCCTTTTGAGACTTTCCTTGGAAACTTTTTTATTGCCATTTTAATGTATTTAAGTCATTACATGTTCAAGTTTACTTATTCCTCCTTCTCCACTATTACTTCCACCTTGCTTAGTTAAGTGGTATATAATTGTGAGTTATTATTAGAGGTAGCCACATAGATAGTGAAATGAATAGAGCCTGGAGCCCAGTGCTAGAAGTGGGAGGAAGTGAATGATTGAGAGGCCCTGGTTCCTGATAACTTCTTGATGCTACTTGACCACAGAAGGAGCTGGTGCCTCTGGATACCTGTCATTCTACAGCCGCAGAGGGAAGTACCTTGGGCCTATGGTTGGTCACATAGAGTTGCAGAACAGGTCCAGACTGAGACCCCTCTTCATTTCCTTAGGGTATAGGGACAGGGTAAGGGAAGGACTCTTAGAGGGTTGGGTAGAATAAAGAATAGGAGGGTAAGGGGAGAAGATAAGGTAAGAGAGACAGAGTAAAAAGAGAGGCTGAGAAGTTAACAGTGAGTAAAAATAAGATAGAAGGAAATTCTCAAATAGTACTTATAACTTTGAATGTCAATGGGATGAATTCACCCATAAAACAGAATCAGAATCCAGTAATACATTATTTACAAGAAACGCATTTTAAAAAAGAGATATACACAAAGTTAAAATGAAAGGTTGGAGTAGAATTTATGATTCAGCTGATGCAAAAAAGGCAAGAATAGCAATCATAATCTCAGATAAAGTTAAGGCTAAAATAGAATTAATTAAAAGAATTTAAACAGGGTAACAACATTTTGATGAAAGGTACCATAGACAAGAAACAATATCAATACTGAGCATATATGCACAAAATGGTATAACATCTAAATTTTTAGAAGAAAAGTCAAATGAATGACAGGTGGAGATAGATAGCAGTCCTATAATAGTGGGAGACATTAACCTTTCCCTCTCAGAACTAGAAATCTAGCCAAAAAAACAAATAAAAAAGAAATCAAGAAAGTGAATAGAAATTTTGATAAGCTAGAGATAGATATCTGGAGAAATTTGAATGGAAATATAGAGTTATATATTTTTTTCCTCAGCAGTTAATAGCACCTTTAAAAAGCTTGCATAAATATTTGCACATTTTTTATAGTTAAAAGCAGAGATATTAAAAGTATCTTTTCAGATCATAATGCAACTAAAATTATTTTAAATAAGGGACTATATATTAAAAACTAATTATAGATTAAACAACCTAATTTCAAAGAATGAATGGATTAAAGAAGAAGTTATAGAAACAATAAATAATTTTACTAACAAGAATGACAATGAGACAATATATTAAAACCTATAGGATACAACAAAAGCAGTGATCAGAGAAAAATTTGTATTTCTAAATGTTTACATCAATAAAAAAGAGAAAGAATAGACTAATGAATTGGCTATGCAATTAAAAGACTAGAAAAAGAACAAACTAAAAATCTCCAATTAAACACTAAATTGGAAATCCTAAAAATTAAAGGTGAGATTTAAAAAATTGAATGTAGAAAAAAAACCATTGAATTAATAAATGAAACAAGGAGTTGGTTTTATGAAAAATAAAGTATAAAATAAATAAACTATTGGTTAACATGATTTTAAAAAAAGAAAGAAGAAAACCAAATCACAAGTATTAAAAATCAAAAGGATGAATATAAATGAAATTCAAGCAATTATTAGGAGTTATTTTGCTCAAATATATGCCAATAAATTTAACAATTGAAGTGAAATGGAAGGATATTTACAAAAATATAAATTGCCTAGATCAGCAGAAGAAGAAAAAATAGAGTATCTAAATAGACCTATTTTACAAAAAGAAACTGAATGGACCATAAATGAGCTTCGTAAGGGGGGAAAAAAGTATCAAGACCAAATGGATTTACCAGTGAATTTTATTAACATTTAAAGATCAACTAATTCCAGTGTTTAGTAAATTATTTGGAATAAAAGGCAGATATGATACTGATATCTAAACCAGGAAGAGTAAAAATAGAGAAAGAAATTTATAGACTATGTACCTATTGAAATTTGAGTAAAAAATCCCAAATAAAATACTGACTAAAAGATTGCAGCAATATATCCCAAAGATTATACATTAAGACCAAGTAAGAGTTATACCAGGAATGCAGAGATGGTTTAACATAAGGAAAACTATTACCATGATTGATTAAATCAATAGTAAAAGTTTTTAAAAAATGTGATTATATCAATAGATGCAGAAAACACTTTTGATAAAGTACAATGCTCATTTCTAATAAAAACACTTGAAAGTATAGGTGCAAATGAATTCTTCCTTAAAGTGATGAAAAGCATTTATCTAAAACCACCAGGAATCATTATTTGTAATGGGGACAAGCTAGAAACCTTCCTAGTAAGATCAGGTGCGAAATAAGGATTCTCACATATCACCAATATTATTCATTATTGTACTGGAAATCCTAGCAATAGCAATAAGAGAAGAAAAGAAATTGAAGGAATCAGAATAGGCAATGAAGTAATAAAACTATCTCTTTTCCAAATGATATGATGATATATTTGGAAAATCCCAAAAACATAACTAAAAATTAATTGAAATAATTAACAATTTTAGCAAAAACAAACAAATCCCCAGAATTTTATTGAAGTAGCAGGATATAAAGTCAATCCACATAAATAATCAGCATTCTTATATGTCACAAACAAAACCATGCAAGAAGAAATACTAAGATACATCTCATTTAAAACAACTCTGGACAGTATAAAATACCTAGAAGTATACCTACCAAAAACAAAGCCAGGAACTATATAAACAAAATTATAAAATAACTCCTTGTACAAATAAAGCTGGATTTAAATAATTGGAGAAATATTAATTGTTCATGTGTGGGCAAGGCCAACGTAACAAAAATGACAATTTTATCTAAACTATACATTCAATGGCATCCCAATTAAATTACTTCCCCCAAAAATTTTACTAATTCAGAAAATTTGACAAAATTCATTTGGAAGAACAAAGTCAAGAATATCAGAGGAACCAATGAAAAAAATGTAAAGGAAGGAGATTTAGCAGCACCAGTTCTTATACTATATTATAGCACAGTAATTATCAAAACTATCTGGTAGTGGCTAAGAAAGAGAAAGGTAAATCAGTGGAACAGAGTAGACATACAATTTCTAGCAGCAAATAAGTAACCTTGTGTTTGACAAGAGTAAAGACTTAAGATTTGGGGATAAGAATTCATTATTTGGTAAAAATTGTTGGGAAAATTGAAAAGCAATATGACAGAAATTGGGGCATAGACCAATAACTTTTTTTTTTCCAGTTAAGGTGCAGTTTATCATAAAGTCAATAGAAGCGGTCAGGATTTCTAGTGAACCTGCAACTTAGAACCTTAGCAACTGATGCTTATATACAAAAAGGACAGTGAAGGGATCTGGATGAGATTCAGGAGTGGTAAGGAGTCTGGGGTGGCACCAAGTGCAACCAGGAAAGGAATTTCAAGTTAGCTAATTAGATGATCAAGTAGTCTGGGGTGGACCAATGAGCTGGGCTGCTGGAATGTATGGGAAAATTCAGGTACTGAGTTGCTTTCAAAGATATGGTCTTTTTTTTTTTAGGGGTCCAGGTTCAATTACACTACCATACCCCCCCAAACAAATGGGACCCAAAATCTTTTGAGGTAAGGTGTGAAAGTCTCAGCTTCTGAAACTGCTTCCTCCTGGCAGGGGGCATAGAGTTGTTCCTGCCTCACTTGGTCCCATTGAAGCAGTAAGATTTTGGAATTTGACTGATGCCAGGTCCAGTGGGTTAGGGGCCTTTGACTGGGGTGAAGGTTAGTATACATCCTGAGCAATCATCTAGAAGTTAATGGTCTGGAGCCTGGAGGAGACAAATCTGACAAGGAGGTTCAATATGCAGGGCCCAGATAGAGGGAGAAATAAAAGGATGTTATGATGGGGAAAAGCAAGAAAGTATTGCCCTCTAAGAAAATGGATTGCACTGAAATTCTTTTCCCCAAACCAAAATGGAGATATTTTTGATTTAATTTCAGTAAATAATAGCAATATTTATCCCAGCCTTAGTCTATGGGATAATGATTCACATGACTACACTGGCAGGCAGATAACAAGCCCACGTACTAATTTACCCAGTTGCCTGGGATATACTTGCAAATTCTCAGCAAGCTAAGTTCATTGTTTAGGAACTCCATAACCCAAATAAGCCCTTTGGCAAGTTTACAAAATAAGGGAGATCCATAGGGACCCCTGAGAAGGAGCTGCCTATCCATCCCATCTACCTTTAGATGTGCTGTGGGCTGTGCCTTTTGACTAGCTCTGAGGACTGCTCTGAATGGGCAGAAGCAATCTGGATAAGGCTTTTATCTCATCCTCTTCTTTACACATATACAGACAGAATAATCAATGACCAGTTTTAGCATTAAAAATAACCCAAATATCTTAGTTAATTATATTACAATTTTCTGCTCTAAATCACTATTGACTGGAGGAATGCAAATCAAAAAAAGTCTTAGGTACCACATCACACCTATCAGCTTGGCTAACATGACAAAACAAGAAAATTATAAATGCTGGAGAAGATGTGGGAAAGTTGAAATCCTAATGCATTGTTGGTGGAGTTGTGAACTGATCTGACCATTTTGGAGAGCAATTTGGAACTATGCCCAAAGGGCTAAAAAATATGCATACCCTTTGACCCAGCAATACCATTTCTAGGACTATAACTTAAAGAGATCATAAAAATGGGAAAAAGACCTACACATACAAAAATATAGCAGCCCTTTTTGTGGTGGCCAAGAATTGGAAATTGAGAGGATGCCCACCAATTGGGGAATGGCCAAACATGTTGCGGTATATGAATGTAATGGAATATTATTGTGCTATAAGAAATGATGAGCAGCAGACTTCAGAAAAACCTGGAAAGACTTATATGGAATGATGCTGAGTGAACTGAGCAGAACCAGGAGAACACTGCACACAGTAACAACCACATCGTGTGTTGACTGACTGATAGACTTAGCTCTTCTTAGCAATACAAGGACCTAAGACAACTCTAAAAGACTCATGATGGAAAATACTATCCACATCCAGAAAAAGAACTATGAAGTCTAAATACAGTTTGAAGAATACTATTTACTCTCTCTCTCTCTTTTGTTTTGTTTATTCTTTCTCATGGTTCCTCCTATTCATTCTAATTTTTCTTTACAACATGGCTAACTTGAAAATACATTTAATAAGAATGTATATGTAGAGTCTATATCAGATTGCATGCTGTGTTGGGGAGGACAGAGAGGACAGACTCGGAGAAAATTTAAAGCAACAGCTTATGGAAGTGAATGTAGAAAACTAAAAAATTAATTAGTTTTAAAAATAATAGAATTTTTATACGAGAAATGCAAATTGTTTTAACTTCAACTTCCTCTTAACTGTAGGCTAGGGTGAAAATACCCAATTTTATAAATAGCAGTTACAAAACATTATAAGACCATGTTAGGGAAACAATTTTTCCACTACCTTTTTAGTTTCTCTCATTTCATACTCTAATAACATCCAAATCATGAAAAGTTGCTTGGCGTAACTGATGCAAAAGTTTACCAGGTTGAAACTTGAAACAAATGCATTACCAATCAGGTGACTTCAATATTGTTGAATGCATTTCCAAATTACTTTACGCAGAATGTTGGCATCTCATCATTAGCATGTTGAAACTACAACTTTAGGGGCAGCTAGGTGGCTCAGTGGGTGGAGCACTGGCCCTGAAGTCAGGAGGACCTGAGTTCAAATCCGACCTCAGACCAAACACTTGACACTTACTCTCTGTGTGACCCTGGGTGAGTCACTTAACCCCAACCGCCTAAAAAAGAAAAGAAAGAAACTACAACTTTAAAAGAGTAGGCTAAACAAGTGCTGAGGCTGTCTGGTTTCTTATCTTGCACTGCCTTGACCCATCCTCCTTTCCTCTCTTCCCATGGCTGCAGACACTGCTCATGAAGCTGGGGGGTGTGGGGATGAGCAGGATGTGGGTGATACTTCCAAGCTTTCCAGGCAGGCAATGGGGTGTCCAGGGGTGTTGTTACCAGGGGCCCCCTGGTCTAGATGCTGCACCTCCTGGCTCCTTCCTTTCAGACAGATGACTTGGAACCTCCAGGAAAAGATCTAATTGGCATCTAGTCCCTTTTCCCAGGAACTGGAGAGCTTCAAGACTCCACTTTTAAGGTGTCTCTTTTCAAGATCTTGTAAGCTGAATTTGCTCCCATTTTGCAGGAGACTGTGCAGTTGGAGTCATATTATACAAAACCTCTTCTCTTTATGTGAGGCAAGACACAGTTGAATACTAGTCAACCTGCCTCTTTTTGGTCTGAGGGGAAAAGATTCCCTCTTTCTTTTTCCCTTGTCTGTCTCTCCACATTCAGAAGTTGGCCAGAGTTTGAATGGAGGGAGAGAGGGAAAGAGAAGAGAAGAGAAGAGAAGAGAAGAGAAGAGAAGAGAAGAGAAGAGAAGAGAAGAGAAGAGAAGAGAAGAGAAGAGAAGAGAAGAGAAGAGAAGAGAAGAGAAGAGAGGAGAGGAGAGGAGAGGGAGGAGAGGAGAGGAAGGAGAGGAGAGGAAGGAGAGGAAGAGAGGAGAGGAGAGGAGAGGAGAGGAGAGGAGAGGAGAGGAGAGGAGAGGAGAGGAGAGGAGAAGAGAAGAGAGGAGGAGAGGAGAGGAGAGGAGAGAGAGGAGAGGAGAAAGAGAAGAGAGGAGAGGAGAGAGAAGAGAGGAGAAGAGAAAGAAGAGAAGAGAAAGAGAAAGAGAGAGAAGAGAAGAGAAGAGAAGAGAAGAGAAGAGAAGAGAGAGACAGAGACAGAGAGAAAGAGACAGAGACAGAGACAGAGAGAGGCAGAGACAGAGACAGAGAGAGAGAGTTTTAATCAACAACTTTTTTCTTTCCAAAAGTTTCCAAACCATTTACTTTCAAACCCTCTGTTCACATTGTTTGTGCAAATAGATTATGCCCTTCTTTCTACCCATGCTCCTCTCATTCCTATATGCTTACACTTTCTTCCATTTCCTTCCATCTATTTATCCCTCTGGTAGTCTTTGATTAAAGCCCTTTTAAAACTGCACATGTCTTGTTTCTTTCTAGTTCTGATTTGACACTTCTCTTATCCTCCTCTATTTGCCTTTTTTCAATCATATAACCTAAATAACAAAGTATTTTTCTTTCTCCTTCTTTGTCTCATCCCTTACTCCTCTGAGGCTGTTGCAATCAGGGAGGGAGAGAGGGAGAGAGAATGAGAAAGAGGCATTCCAAAAAAAGTGCAGCTATTCCCTTAGAGGCTTCTCTGGATGGCTGGCTGCATTTTAAATCTTACAGGGTGTTGGAGTACACATAGACACTCACTAGCACCACAAAGAGACAAATACAGAACAGATTAATATGACAAACAGACAGGGTGACATAGATAATGACAGGGAAAACCTAAAAGCTCAGAGAGGTTTATTGGAAATCCCATGCACAGATCAGATGATTTTTCTTAGTTCTCTAGGTCATAGTGAGGCCAGGCACAAGGCATTTCTTTTCAAGATCTTGGAGTATGAGCTTTTTCCAGTTCTGTAAAAGATAACAGAGGGGCAAATCTTGGGAAAGTCCTGCTGAGTCTGGCTGCAAGGCTGAGGATCTGGTGGCCATGAAGCCGGAAGAGAAGGGGGATCTGGCAGGCACAAGTATGGGAACTGGGAGTCCCTTTGTGAAACCAGAAGAGAAGTAGGATCCTAGGACATAGAGGGAGATTTGCCCATTTCTTTGCCTCAGGAAACCAAAATCACTTGTAGTCACCAAATTCCCCAGCGTCCTAGAAAATTGAGAGAATTGGACATATGCTTCCAGATAGGTTGTCCTTGGGTCTGAAAAGGCCTTGAACTGAACTGTCTGACCCACTGGAGCCTGAAACCTCCAAGCCTTCCTAGGTGCTTGGAGAGCAACCTCAATTGCAGAGCAAGAAAGGGACAGAGAAGGAGGAGGCTCACATACTTTCTGCTCTTGACTGGAGAAGGACTTGAGGGGATCAGACAGGTTGCCATAATGGGCCACCAAAACGACATGATTTGGGATTGCTAGAAACCCCAAAATGTTAGGGTATAGGGCAGAGTCTGCCTGGAATGAATTCATGCATTCAAATCGTCTTCCAGTCATGGGGCAAATTTTATCATAATGCCAATAGAAGCAGATAGGGTTCCTAGTGAACCTGCACATAGACCAATATCTTACACCATTTACCAAGATGAGGTCAAAATTGATACATGACCTAGATATAAAGAGATATTACAAGAAAACTTGAAAAACATGGAACATACTACTTTTCAGTCTTACAGATAGGAAAATGATTTATGAATAAAAAAGAGAGAACAGAGTGAGGTATAAAATGGAAAATTTTGATTACAGTAAATTAAAAAGATTTTGTACCAATAAAACAAATGTAAAAAAGATCTGAAGGAAAGCAAAAAATTGGGGAAAATTTTATAGACCGTTTCTCAGATAAAGGTAACATCTTACATATATGAAGAACTTCATAAAATCTATAAGATTTTGAGTCATTCTCCAATTGATAAATACTCAAAAGATATGAATAGGCAGTTTTCCAATGAAGAAATAAAAACAATTCATAGTCAATATTGTTAGTGATTAGAGAAATGCAAATTAAAACAACCTTGAGATATCATTTTACAACTATCAGATTGGTTAAAACGATTGTAGGGGAAAGCTACAAAAGTTGGAGAGGATGTGGAAAAATTAAGACACTAATTTTTGGTGGAGTTTTGAATGGATCCAATCATTTTGGAGAGCAATCTGGAATTATGCCTAAAGAGTTGTTAAACTGCCTTTTTCTTTTGACCCAACAATACCACTACTAGGTCTATTTCCAAAGATGATTAAGGAAAAATAAAAAGAACCTATATGTTCTAAAATATTTATAGCACCTCTCTTTGTGGTGGCAAAAAAGCTGGAAGTTGCAAGGATGCCAATCTATTGGGAAATGGCTGAACAAATTGTGGCATGTGATTTTGTTGGAATACTACTATACTATGAGAAATGATGAGCTTGATGGTCTTAGAAAAGCATGGATAAACTTGCACAAAATAATGGAGTGAAATGAGCAGAACCAAGAGAACATGGTATACAGTAACAACAAAATTGTTTTAAGAACAACTTTGAGTGAAAAAGTAATTTTAACTAAAAATTAACTACAAAAAGAGGCAGCTAGGTGGCACCGTATATGAAGCTCCAGCCTTGGAGTCAGGAGAACCTAAGTTCTAATGCTGCCTCAGATACATGACACTTACTAGCTGTGTGACCCTGGGCAAGTCTCTTAACCCTGATTGCCTAACCAAAAAGAAAAAAAAAATAACTACAAAGGACATATGAAGGAAGATGCTGTTTGCATACAGAGAAAGAAGTGATACATAGAAGTAGGCATAGAATGATTTTACATTTATATGTATACACACACACACACACATATATGTATAAACATACATATATTTGTGTCTCCAGGGTGGGGGGGGGAGGGAAGAAAAAAAGAGGAAAAAATGAAATTTATGTGATAATTTTATTATGTTTTTAAAAGGAATAGCAAGTTGTACATAACAGGTTTTCAGTTTCATGTGCCATCATCTTTTTTTTTATTATTATTATACTATGTTATGGAAATGCTTATTTTATTCCACAAATTAAAAATTAGATAAAGAAAAAGAAACAAATTGTTTTCCAGAATGGTGAGACCAATTCATAGCTTTACCAACAGTGTATTAATGTTCCTGTTTTCCTGAAGTTCTTGGAACATTTATCATTTTCCTGTCTTTTCTGCTTTGCCAATCTGATGCATGTAAGGTGAATCCTCAAAATTACTCTAATTTACATTTATCTACTAATGATTTGAAGTATTTGTTCCCAAATGATTATAGTTATCTTGGATTTCTTCCTTTGACAATTGACTGTCTCTATCCTTTTACCATTTAACAATTGAGGAATGAGCTTACCTTTTTTATCTTTATTAGCATGTCAGAGTTCATTAGCAGTAAAACCCTGTTTTGCCAGAAAAAGTGGAGTCATTGACTGATTAGTTTTGTATTTATAATTCATACAGGCATTGGATTCTTAGCCTTCCATATCAGTAATAGCAAGGAAGAATTTCAATGGATCCATCTATGGTGGCTGCTTTTGGCCTAGTGTTCTGTATCTTGTGTCTGCTTCTTATTTCAGCATGGAGGAAGGCTCTTGGAAGAGGAAAGCTCCTTCCTGGCCTTTTTCTTCTTCCAATTATTGGTAATATATTGCAGTTGGACACTAAGAATATCCCTAAATCCTCATGCATGGTAAGTTAGGCTCAGTCTGTCCTATTGGTTTCATTTCTGGCTTTCAATGTCAATGTGTTTTGGGAGAACATCTTCAAGGAAATTATCCTAATGAGCATAGTATATATTAGAGAAAGGAGATACTAGAAAGATTATCTAATCCATATTTTGATTCACTTGTAGCCAGCTTGGCCCATTTTGGTTAGGTTCATCTAGCTCCAAGAGGAGAAAGTTGAGGTCCCTCACTAATATAGTTTTATTATCTATTTCTTCTTGTAATTCATTCAACTTCTTCAAAAATTCAGATGCTATACCATTTGGTGCATATAGGTTTAATATTGATATGACTTCATTGTCTGATTTGTTTTTAGTAAGATATGATTTCCTTCTTTATCTTTTATTTACATCTATTTTTGCTTTTGCTTTGTCTGAGATCATGTTTGCTGCCCCTGCTTTTTTGCATCAGATGAAGCTTAATAGATTCTGCTTCAGCCCCTTACTTTTACTCTGTGTGTATCTCTCTGCTTCAAATGTGTTTCTTGTAAACAACATATTGTAGGATTGTGGTTTTTAATCCACTCTGCTATCTGCCTCTGGTTTTTTTGGTGAGTTCATCCCATCCACATTTATAGTAATGATAACTAATTGTGTATTTCCCTCCAAGCTATTTTTCACTTGCTTCTCTCTCTCTGACACCCCGAATTTTCCCTCCTCACAAGTGTTTTACTTCTGATCACCACCTTTCCCCACATATCCTTCATTTTATTAGTACCCTCACCCTCTTCTATTGTCCGCATCTCTTTTAACCTCTTTATAGGGTGAGATAGATTTCTATATCCAACTGAGTGTGTATGTTGTTCCTGCTTTAAGCCAATTTTGATGAGAATAAGGTTTAAACTTTGCCTTCCAACATCAATCCCCACCTCCGAATCTTCCCCTGCATTACAATAGCTCTTTCATGCCTCTTCTATGTGGGATAATTTACTCTATTCAATCTCTACCATCCTTCTTCTTACAATGCAATTTTCTTTTTCACCCCTTTATTTTGTTTTTGGGGGTTATCATTCTGTCAAACTCACTTCATATTTCCACCTTGTGTCTACATATACTCCTTCTAATTGCTCTTATAATAATCAAGTTGTTAAGAGCTACAATATTATCTTTCTGTATAGAAATATAAACACTTTAACCTTATTGAATTTCTTACATTTTCTTTTTCTTGTTTACTTTTTTATGTTTCCCTTGAATCTTGTATTTGGAGGTCAATTTTTTTTTTCAGCTCTAGTCTTTTAATTAGAAATGCTTGAAAGTCCTCTATTTCATTAAATGTGTATTTTTCCCCTGAAATATTATATCAAATTTTGGTGGCTAGTAGATTCTTGTCATCCTAATTCCTTGTTTTCTGGTGTATCATATACCAAGCCCTCTGGTTCTTTAATGTGGAAGCTGTCAAATCGTATGTAATCCTGATTGTAGCTCCATGATATTTGAATTATTTCTTCTTGGTTGCTTACAATACTTTCTCTTTAATCTGTGAGCTCTGGAATTTGACTATGACGTTCCTAAGTGTTTTCATTTTGGGATCTCTTCCAGGTGGTGATCAGCAGGTTCTTTAAATTTCTTTTTTGCCCACTGGTTCTAATATATCAGGGCAGTTTTCTTTAATAATTTCTTGAAAGATGTTTTTCAAGTTTTTTTATTAAAGTTTTCAGGTAGTCCAATAATTCCTATATTATCCCTCCTCAATTTATTTTTTAGGCCAGTTGTTTTTCCAACAAGAAATTTTACATTTTCTTCCGTTTTTTTCTCTTTTCATTTTAAAAAAAATATTTATTTATTTTTAGGCAATTGAGGTTAAGTGACTTGCCCAGGGTCACACAGCTAGTAAATATTAAGTGTTTGGTCTGAGGCCAGATTTGAACTCAGGTCCTCCTGACTTCAGGGCTGGTGCTCTATCCACTGTGCCACCTAGCTGCCCTTTTCTCTTTTGATTTTGTTTTATTATATCTTGATGTTTCATATAATCATTAGTTTCTACGTGTTCAGTTATAATTTTTAAGGAAATATTTTCTTCTGTGAGCTTTTGTATTTTCTTTTCCATTTGGCCAGTTTCATTTTTTAGGAAGTTGTTTCACTGGTAAGATTTTGTATAACTTTTCCCATGCTATTGACTCCTTTTTCATAATTCTTGTATTACTGTCATTTCTTTTCTCATTTTTTCTTCTAATTCTCTAATTTGCTTTTTAAAATCCTTTTTATATTTTCCAGGAATTCTTTTTGGGCCTGAGACTAAATTACATTTTTCTTTGAGGCTTCACATGTAGCCATTTTGACACTATTGTTCTCTTCTAAGTTTATGCTTTGATGCTCCCTATCACTATAATAACTTTCTACAGTCAAGCTCTTTCTTTCTTTTTGCTCATTTTTTCTGCTCTTTTTTTGTGACTTGGTTTTTTTATATGAGATTTGGGCTCTGGTCCTGTAATATCCCAAGCTTTTTGTGCTTGGGCTCTGGTGCTTGCTGCTGGTTTTTACTAGGCTTCAAGGCTTATCTGCCTGCTTTCTTTGGAGGGTAGGCTTCCCTTTCAGCTTATACTGGGGGATGGGGTCTCCCTGTTGGCCTTCCCTGGGTATGGGGTGGAGTTACTGGCCTGCTCCAGGGGTAGGGCTTTGCTACTGGGTTGCTATGGAAGCAGGGCCTCTCTGCTGATAAGCCCGAGGTGTGGGACTTCACTACTGGTCAGCAATGGGGTCAAGGACTCCATTGATGGCTTGTGATGGGGGTGAGATCACTGGGGTGGGGCCTTGCTGTGCTGTTCACTTGCTTAGGGGGCTCCTGGTTTGCAAGAGAGAGGCGCCTCAATGGTGGATTGCCCCAGGCTTGGAGCCTTGCTGCAACCCCTCTACTGTGAGGCTAGCTGCTGCTGCTTTTGCACCTCACTCCTCTCCGACCCCAGGGAGACAGACCTTTCCTGCTAGGCTGGTAAGTTCCTTCCCTGCTCCTAGATGAATTCTACATTAAAGGACTGCAGGGCATGGAATATAATATTCCAGAGGGCAAAGGAGATAGGATTACAACCAAGAATCACCTACCCAGCAAAACTGAGTATAATCCTTCAGGGGGAAAAATGGTCATTCAGTGAAATAGAGGACTTTCAAGCATTCTTGATGAAAAGACCAGAGCTGAATAGAAAATTTGACTTTCAAACACAAGACTCAAGTG